TGCTTGCCTCCAGGAATGGGGTAGGAGCGTTGTTACCCTTTCAGTTTCATTAGAGAGTTTGAAGAGTATTAACATTAAATCTTCTCTAAATTTCTTCTAGAATTCAGCCATAAATCCACAAGGATTTTTATTTGTTAGTAAGTTTTTAATTACATATTTGATTTCAGTAGTTGATAGTAGGTTATTCAAATTTTTTGTATCTTCTCGATTCAGCTTTGCTAACTGGTGAGTTTCTAGGAATCTATCCATTTCTTCTGTGTTTTCCAGCATGAGTAAAGGCCTTTGAAGTGATTAATGAAGATCTTCTGAATTTCCTCATGATCTGTAGTGATTTCATCCTTTTAATTTCTCATTGCATACATTTGAGTTTTCTCTTATCTTTTCTTGATAACGTTGGCTAGGGTTTTACCAATTTTGTTGATTGTTTCAAAGAACCAACTTAATTAATTAATTCTTTGTACTATTTTCTTAGTCTCAATTACATTAAGTTCTACTCTGATCTTTACAGTTTCTTCCTGTCTATGAGCTTTGGTCTTGACTTGTAGATTGCTCATTTGTGCTGTTCTGTTTTCCTGAAATGAGAATTCACTGCCATATTTCCTGCTTAGGATTGCTTTCATCGCATCCCACAGGTTTAAGTACGTTATATCTGCATTTTCATTTAACTGTAGATATTGTTCAATTTGTTCTTTAATTTTATCTGTGACACATTGGTTGTTCAAGAGGGGGTTATTTAATTTTCACGTGTCTATGTAGTTTTTGTAGCTTCTTTGCCATTAGTTTCCAATTTCATTGCATTATGTTCAGATAATATGCATGGGATAATGTTAGTTCCTTTGCACTTGCTTAGGCGTCTTCCATGGGTAGTACGTGTTCTATTTTGGAGAACATCCCACGTGCAGCTGAAGAGAATGTGTATTCTGATGTTGTTGGGTGGAACCCTCTGTAAACATCTATTAAATCCATTTGTTAACAGCTTTGATTCATTTCTGCTATTTCTTTGCTGACATTCTGTCTTTTGATCTATCCCTTTGTGATAATGGGTTATTATGCCCCTGTTATCCTTGTGTTACTGCACATTTGATGTTTCCTGTCTATTGATATTTTTCTTGTATACTTGGGCACTCCCATGTTGGATGCATACATATTTAAGACTGTTACCCCTTCCTCTTGAACTTTGCCCCTAGCAAGTATGCAGTCACTTTCTCTATCTCAGTCAGTCATTTTTGGTTTTAAGTTCAGTTTATCTGTGAAGAGAGTATCTACCATTTCTTTTCTGGGTTCCTGTTGCATAGAGTACTGCTTTCAATATTTTGACTTTCAGAGCATGAATTTCTTTTTGAGTTAAATGTGTTTCTTGTATACATATCTTTGGATCTTATTTCATGACCCATTCTGACAATTTTTTTTTTTGGATTAGTGAATTGAGGCCATTTACATTGATGATTATAACTGATAAAGTATTGGCCTACCTTTTTTGTGTGTTTTTTTTTTTACTTGTTTTTCCCTTTTCTTTGTTTGTCTTATCCAGTGGCTTCTTTCTATTTTTGTGATCATTTTTCTCTCTATCTAGTATGTCTTCCAGTAACCTTTCTAGGATTGTTTTGGCGGACACAAATTTTTTCATTTGTTCTTTGTCATGGAAATATCTTATGGCTCTTATTTTTGAAAGACACTTTTGTAGGTTATATCAATCTGGGCAGCAAGCTGTTTTAATTTGATTTTTAAGGACTCAAAAACCTTTACTGAGCTCTCCTTGACTTGAAGGTTTGTATTCAGAAGTCAGTGTGATTCAGAAATAAACTTTCCTTTATATGTGACCCGTATCTTTGGTCTAACAATTTTTACCATTCTGGGATTTTTGGGGGGCTGAATTTCTGGAATCTTGATGATTATATATTTGGGTGTATATTTATTTTGTTTATACCTTTTGGGGATTCTATATGCCTCAGTTACCTGTATTTCGGATTCTGTTACCATGCTTTGGCAATTTTCTGCTCTTATTCAAATAGTTTCTTTTTATATCACTTGTGTTGACTTCTGCTTTTTAATTGATATCTAATCAGTTTTACCTTATTTTTCTTTGTATCGTGTTGGAGGTGTTGAACTGTTATTTCATGGTTCTCTGATATTTTTAAGAGATTTTTTTTCATTTTTTATCAGTAGCTGCAATTGTGTCTTCAGGATCTGAAAGTCTATCTTCATTTTTGTTCAAGCTATTTTGCCAGATTTCAATAGAATTTTAATTTCCTGGATATCTCTTTGTATCTGCTTCATGCATTTTATGTCTTATATTATTCTTTCAAAATGTCTATCATTTTCCTATGTGCATCTGTGTTCCTTTATTCATCTATGTCTTCTCTAGCTGAGGTAAAAAATTCCTTCATTAAGATTGTCATTTGTTACATTAGCTTAGAGATTATTTCTGATCTGATTTTCTCTATAGCCTCATGGATTTCTTTCTTTGCTTTACTTGGTGTTTTTACAAAAATTTAAATTATGTGTCTTCGATGTCTTCTATGTCAGTATCTCCTGTACTTGTTCCAGATGGGCTGGAGGTCTGAGACTGCATTTTGTTTTTTATATTGTCATTTTAGCTTCTTGGTTTATATTTCAATCATTTCAATCCCACTAGTTCTGTCAATCCTTTGTGTGTGTTTCAGTCAGTGTCATACTTTGGCTAATATTCACCTACTTGCTGAGCCCCACACTGTAGGAGACAGGCCAGTCACCTAAATTCCTCCTGCACGGTCAGTTGGGTTGGTCCTGGATTCTTCCTGAGCTAACCAGCCTAGGCATATTGATATGATACAAACTTTAGCCAATATTGTTGCTGCAGGTTCATACATTTCCAGGCCACTGGACTTGCCTGTCCATGGAGTACACTACAGCCAGGGTCCTACTGTGTTACAGGGGATCTTGCAGACCCAACCAGCTTCCCTTGGGTGGTGGGAAAGTTCACCTGCACTCTTCTAGCCCTCCAAAATCCTCCAGGTGGGGAAAGATGCTGCTGAGGCCTCTGCCAGCTGATCAAGTGTTCAGTATAAACCTCAAATCTCTATCTTCTTTATATTTTCAGCCTAAAATAATAAGAAAATTTCAACCAAAAAAGCAAATTTTAAAAGTGAACAAAACATAGAAAAATGTTCTAAGACAAGTGTTTTAAGTAGAAACAAATTATGTGCCTATAATGGACACTATAAAATAAGAATTTTTGTGAGAATGGCAATTCCCATTTTTCTTCATGATCTATTATGGTAGCCAAGAGCATTAACCTCTTGTGCTTCATGAGCATTTGAAATGCAACTAATACAGTTGAGGAATTAAGCTATAAATTTATTTAAATTTAATTTATTTCAATTCAGAATTCTTTACTAATCACTTTACAGTGGGCCCCCATGTACATGGTATCTACTTCATTACATTATATCTGGTGATGATGTTTTCTAATTTTCAACATTTTTAGTGTGATTGGCATTATATAACAAACATTTTACTGGATTATTTGCTGTTTCTTTATTAGAATTTCAGAAACACTGTTTATTTTACTTATATAGTATGCCTGCATTATATTACATGGTTCATTTTGCTTAAGGAAAAATGCATTATCTGGTGTGAACAATGATTATCATAAACTAAGCAAACCATGCACATTTTATATGCAAAAAGTATTCTAATTTAGAGACTTAAAACTAAATAATATTTTTACTATCTAAATTTGCAATGTTTTCTCTTGTAATGTTTTTGCATTATTTTTCACAGCTTTTATGGATGAGGACAAAAGATGAACACTATTTAAATTACTAGAATACGAATGATTATATTAATTATTATTTCTATCCATGTACCATTTTAAAGAATGTTAAATGATATTATGTACAGAAAATATGACATTGTTTTAGCTGATAATAGCATGTTTTCCCCTCATACTTGTTTTAAAAGAAATTATTGGTACTTCAATCATTTTGTTTTTGACTCTTACTAGAAAGCCTAAATCATGTATTATTTCATTAATTTGTAATATTCATCTACTTCATGAAAATATATCTGTTTAATGGTTTGTTTTATTTTCTCTAATTTTTCTAGAAAATTGCAATTTCATAATATTCATTTTAATGGCATTTGTTAACCAATGATATTTTTTTCATTCAAAATTCATCTCTGACTTTCTAGTTCATAATGATAAATAGGTCTATATACACTTAAACCCAGTTTCTACAGAATCAATGGTGAAATTAATGGCAAAGTAAAATATTTTGACCAAAGAATGAATTAGAATAAGAAAGAAATTAGGTTCATTCTAGAAAGATAAAGAATGCTGACAGAGAGACATGGACCACTGAGCAGAAATGAGTACAATCAAGACACTATGACAGATGTTTATTCCCCTCTAATGGCACTTTTTTATGATATAAAGAGCCAGTTTGCATATTCAATGCTTGGATGCTGGAATATATAAGTACAATTGATTTTTAATTGTTTTTGAGTTGGCTGAATTTTCTTCATAATATTATATTTGATATTGTTTATCTTTCCCTACATATGGGGTCATCATTTTCTAAGATATGTGCTTTATTTTCTATTTCATATACTTGTCACTTTCTTTTTTTGCTTCACTTGCTACATTCTTCTGTAAAGATGGTAGAATAGAACAGGTGAGGTGAAGTGTAATTTCTTACTTTTCATAATTGAGCAAAGAGTACTTAATTGACCAACATATGGGTTTCTTCATGTGAGATTGATATCTTCTGATTACTGAGATTATCCAATATTAGTAACTATTATATTACATTCCCAATAACAAAGAGACTCTACTCAATAATTTCTAGTGATGCTGATTATAATAAATATATATATATATATATGTATAATCTTACAAGCAAACTAAAACTAAAAATGTTTACAAACTTAGAATTCTAATGTGATAGGTATTACATTCACACACCCCCCTCTTACTTTCTTTAATCATCAGGACCTTTGTACTTTTCATCTGTTCATAGATTAGATGTAGTTGTCACCTGTGGACATCAAGTGTGGAAGATCCTTGGAATTACGCTTTCCACCATTTGATCTCAATTCTGAGTTAGTAGACAAGTGGTGAAGATTCATTTCCTATGACCTCACTCTGCCAATTTCAAAGGTGATTCTTTCTCAATAAGCCATTATAATGTGAATCTGGGAACAGTATCAGTTTCTGGTGTCCACTCCCTGGAAAGCTTTCATTTTCATTGATTAAGCAGTAAGGCTATAGTTTTTTCTAATTTTTTATTGGTACATTTAGTATACAGTGATAACATTCATCATAGGAAAGCTGAGCCTATATGTGTACCTCCTGCTGCTCCTTTTCTTCCTGTCCCCTCCCCTCCCTGCAGTCCCTCTTCTCTTCTTGATTTACAAGTTACATTTCCATTGTTTCCTTCTATTTTTTCTCTCTTGCTACTCCCAACCCGAGTGCCTTGTCCTCCTTCTCATGTGACCACTGTTTTCCCTTTTCCCAAAACCTGTTAACATTTTGATCCTTATTTAAACTTTTGGCTTCTCACACCACAAAAACCATGGAATATTTACAGCCCAGTAAGGACACAGTCAGCACTGGGTTGGGTTAGAAAGCAACTGACATTTTCCAGTAGCTTACTTTTAATGTCTAACTATGGAATCTCAACATGTTATGTATTTATTAAAGATGTTAAACGCTGACAATACTAGAAAAACATAATATTTTAAAATTTAAATTTTAATTAATAAATTGATGCTATAATCATTAATATCAAGAAATTGTTAACATTTTTAATTATCAATGAATTAATACAGTCAAAAATTTCAAATTGCTTCTTAAATACTTGTAATATTATATAATTCTCAATGAATACAGTCAAAAATTTCAAATTGCTTAAATACTTGTAATATTATATTTTATACAGTAACATTAAACTGCTAGTCAATGAAACTATTTTCTTAGACGTATCAGATAATTGGAAATCTGCATAATGTTTCTTTTATTTTAAAATCTGCGTATCAATTTTTCTTTAAAATTTTGTTTGCTGGAGAATTAATAAGTAAGAACATGAATGAGTAGAATAGTATTTATGACATAATAGATGCAAAATGACACACAAAAATAATTCTCAAACTCATAAATGTATAATTAAAAAGTAATCATAGTACCTAAAGTAACTGTTTTGCTGTTTACTTATTTACTTTTTATTTTAAATCAGTTTTATTGCTGTATTTTATATATACATGATGTCCACATTCATCATGGGGGAACTTGTACCTGTAAATGATGTTTTCTTTTCTTTGTACTGAGAATCAAACTCACACTTTCCAGGCAGGAGCTGTTAGACATGATACATCTTGACTCCTCTTTATGTTTGTATTTTTCTCTCTTCCCTTTCACTCCTTTTCCCCTGCTTATTTACAAAAGCTTTGTTTCTATTTTTTCCTCCTTTTCTCTTTTTGTCCTCTTCCTCTTCTCCATTTCCCCATCCCCCTTCCTAATTTTCACTTCAATTTGAACATTTTATTCCTATTTCACACTATCTATTATACATTTTGGTCCTTATTTATACTTTCAGTTTCTCACACCAGAGGAAAAAAATTACACATGTGTGCACAATTTATTTCATTTAAGAGTATCATCTCAAGGTGCGTTCACGGATAGAGTATCATCTCAAAGTGCGTTCACGGATATAGAAATGTTTCAAATATCAGTCACATCCATTGTATAAAAAACTACATGTAGTTTATTCATTTATAGGCTGATGGGAAGCTGGGGTATTTCCAAGAATTAGCTATTATGAACTGTGCTCCTATACACATGGGTGTGCATATATTGCTGTGGTATGATGCTTTTAATTCTTTTGGTAAGCAACCAACAAAGCCTAGTTTTAGTTTTTTGAAGGATCTCTCTGCTGGTTTCCATAATTGTTGCACCAGTCTATACTTTCAACAGGAACGGAGATGGTTTCCTTTTCCACATAGCCCCACCAGAATTTGCTATTTGTTGATTTCTGATTAGCAGCCATTTTTTCTAGAGTAAGATGGAACCTCAATGTTATTGTAATTTGCATCTCTTGAATGACCACAACTGTCAATTTGTTTTGGTATATTTATTTTCAATTTCTAATTCTTCATCTGAGTAGTTATGTATTCATTCCAAATGTCCATTTCTGGAATGCATCATTAAATTTGCCAGGTCTGGGGCTGGGGATTTAGCTCAGCGACATAAGGGCCTGCCTTGCAAGCAGGCAGTAGTGAGTTCGATCCCCGGTACCGATAAAAAGGAAAATTATTTTTTAAAAAAATTTGCCAGGTCTGAACTTTTTGAATTCTTTACGTATTCTAGCTATCTAGCTAGTGCTTTATCTGGAATATTTTTCCACTCTCTGGTTTCTTCCCACTCTGTTGGTTTCTTTTGTTGTGCAAAGATTTTTAATAAGATTAGATCCGTTTTGTAAGTTCTTTGTATACTTTCTCTGCAACATTCATAATGTCTTTTCCATATCATCATGAGTTCTATCTATTCGAGGTTCTATTCAGTCTTCTAGCAGATTTCATGTTTCTGTTTTAATAATTAGGGATTTGATCCAGATCAATTTTAGTTTAGTGTATCATGAAAATATGGGTCTAGTTTTAATCTATCAAGTGGAAAGCTAGTTTTTCCAGTATAATTTATTAAGTAGGTGTATTTTTTACAATGAAAGTGTTTGGCTCCTTTTTCAAAGATAAGGTGGCTGACTGTGTTTGGAATTGTTTCTGTATATGCTAGTGTGTTCCATTGATTTATGGGTCTGTTATTTCCCCATTACCATACTGTTTTGTCACTGTAGCTTGATAGTATAATTGAAGTCAAGGATTGTGATGCCATCCTACCTTGCCTTTGTTTCCAAGAATGGGTTTTGCTTATCACTTCAGCTTCCAAATGAATTTTAGCATTGTTTCCTCCAAATCTGTAATGTATGATATTGATATTTTGACCAAGACTGCATTAAATCTGTAAATCATTTTTACAGGATGGCCATTTTCATTGTATGTGTTCTTTCTTCCCAAGAACAAGGAAAATCTTTCCATTTTTTTCATATCATCTTCAGTCTCTTTTTTTTTCTGAGTACTGTATGTTTCAATGTAAAGTCTTTTACTTCTTTCCTTACATTGAAACTTAAATATTTAAATTTTTTGGATGCAATTTTGAAAGGTGTTATTTCCATAATTTTCCTCTCAGTGAGTATCCTATTCATATATAGGGATTTTTTGATTTTTGCATGTTGACTTTCTTTGCAACTACAGTAGTGAATTTTTTATTAAATTTGGAATTATTTTGGTACTGTTTATGGGGTCTTCTATGTAGAGTATCATGTCAATCACAATACTCACAATTTAACTTCTTCTTTTCCTATCCTTATTCCTTTTAATTTTTTCTCTTGTCTAGTTGTTCCAGTTAATGCTTCCAGAACTATATTAAACAGGATTCCTGGCAGTGGACACCCTTGTCTTGTTCCTCATTTCACAGGAATTCTTTCAGTTCTTGACCATTTAGTATGCTGTTGGTTTGGCTGTTGGTTTCTCATAGATCTCATAAATGTTGTATCAGATAAAGATTATCTATACCAACTTTTTGTTGTTTTTCCCATGTTTGCATATTTGACTTGTCAAATGCTTTTTATGCATGTGTTGAGATGATCATGCCATTTTTGTCCTTAGCTGTGTTAATATTGTGTATTAAATTTGTTAATATACTTATTTTCAACCATCCTGCATCCCCTGGATGATCCTTGCTTGTTCTGTGTAATCTTGATGATTTGCTGTATTCTGTTTGCCAATATCTTATGAGGATTTTTACATCTATATTCATTTGGAAGATTTGCCCGTATCTCTGTTTCTTCATTAGGTCCTTCACTGGTTTTGGTTTCATGGTGATGCTTATTTCCAAGAATGAATTTGGGAGAGTAGATTCACTTTGAATTTCATTAAAGAGTTGCATGTCTCTGAAATGTTATTTAATTTGCATGTTTTTAAGTAGTTTTATTGGTTTCTTTTGCCAGTGATTGCCAATTTCATTGCACTATGATCAGACAATATGCATGGAATAATTTCAGTTCCTTTAAATTTACTCAAGCTTGTTTTATGTACCAATATATGTTCTCTTTTAGAGAAAGTTCTGAATGCATCTGAAAAAATATGTATTCTGATGTTGTGGGATACAACACTCTGCAGGTATCACTTAAATTCACTTTTTCAAAAATTTGATGCATTTTTGAGAGTTTGTTGATCTTTTTGGTCTAGTTTATATCTGACTATAGAGCATTGAGTTCCCCCATTACAATTGCATTAGTGCTTATCTGATTTTTCATGTATTTAATATTCATTTTTTATAGTTGAGTACACTGGCATTTGGGTTTAAATTGAGATGACTGCTATAATTTTGGTGGGCTTTCCTTTGTAAGTGAATTGTTTCTTTATGTATGAACTTTTAATATTCCATTCCTGTGTTGAATTCCTGGAATCCTTACTGTTATACACCTTCGGGTAGATTTACATATATATATCTTGGGTAACTGGAGTTGTATGTGTCTCAGTTATCTGTTTGTAAAATTCTTTTTACATGCTCAACAAGTTTCTGCCATTACTTCTTTGGATACATTTTTATATTATTTGTGCTGTCTTCTGTTTTATCACTGACTCAGTCAATCTTAAGTTATTTTTCTTTGCATCATCTAGCAAATGTTGTATTGATATATTCACAGCCCTTTGCTATTTTTAAGAACCCTTTATTTTCATGACCACGATATAATCCTGTCTTCCAGATCTGATACTCTGTCCTGATAATGGTTCATTCTGCTACACATATTTCAATCCTGGATATCTGATTGAATGTGTTTCATGGATTACATTTCTTTCTTATGTTGGGATTTCATGGTTTGCATCATTTTCCTAAGCTCTTCTATTTTTTATCTTTCTCTTTTCTAGATTCACTAATCATGACCTTTATTATGGTCATCATCTCTGAAGTGAAACTGAGTTATTCACCAGGCACAGCAGTTTGCAGCGTCCATTGTTCCATTCTGCTGGTGTGTTTCTCTTTGGAGCCCTCTGTAGTCACCAGTAGTCAATGTACCTCTACAGGTTTGAGCCACCCCTCCCACACTACAGCTCAGAGAGAAAGTGCCACTCCTCACTTCCCATGTCTGCACTTGGTCCCTCTCCTTTCTCTCTCTGCGGGCCCTAATTCTCACCTTAGATACTTGCTCAGTCCTGGGAAGCCACTTCTCTCTTCTTCCCCTTGCGCTCTTCTAGCATCTGGATTCCAAATATCAGAGAAGATGTGTCACCATCCTCCTGCCATCCCAGAAGGCCTGCTTGCTTCTTTAATCCTATATTAAACTAAACTATAACACAACAATTCATAAACTACTTTCTTTGTTTTCAGAATAGTCAAATACTCACAGGTGCATTTATTTTAATATCTTATGGATTTGTGGATTTATCATCATTACTTTTGAAGCTTAAAGTTTGTAATATGTATATTAGTGATAAATGGTACACTTTTTAAGTTCTTATCTATCAGCTGTGTGGTGGGGGTAATGCAAGAACAACTTTTATACAAAACATCAGAACATTTAGCACTCCTTTTAGTGGTTTATAACCCTGGTTTTAATGATCTTTGCAACACGCTGAAAACAAATTGATAGCACATTAACTTTAGTGTGGTAAGATAACTTCATTTGATAACAGACACAATGAGAACATACGTCATGGGAGACTTTCACTAAGTGAAATATAAATAATTTTGAAAAATAGTATTATTTTCACAGAAATGTAGGATGATTTTATAGTGGCAAACTTATTTAACTTATTTCTGGTTTTCTTAGCCATTTACATACCATATAATAAGGTACATTTAAGTGCTAGTGTAACTCATAATTTTCATGGAATCACATCATATATTTTTCATGCAACACAAGCAAATTCTTTATTATCCAGTTTTTATTGATACCAATGCATTGCTTTTATAATACCACTTCTGTTCTAAATATATTTCTTTATAACAGTTAAAATGTGCTTTAAAATGTGGAATATCCATTTAGCTTTAATCTTTTTTTAATTGAAAGTATGTGAAATATAAAATAACAAAATGGAATATATCTTTGAAATTGTCCTTTTTCTTTCTTAACATAAAAAGCACTCAAATGTATAACTATTGATTATCTAAATAGCTTTAAGAACATATTAAAACACAAAAATCTAGAGGAATATATAAATAATGACAACTATTTTGCAAAGTTGTAAATTTGATGGCAAGTATTAGATTTTATTGGGTAATTCTTTTTGAATGAATGGATAAAAGCATGCATATATTAAACAATTTAAGAACATTATTACAGAACTCTTGTATTATATATCTAATTCCTTAAAACTGTTGCAAATGTTTTCAAACATGCATTAGCACAATATGATTTAAAGTAACATAGGGCTATAAGTTTAAATATTTCTAAATTATTATATGTATGTCTAATTGTATAATTCTTATAAATAAAAACCAAAAACCAAACAAACACCTTTTGAGGGAATACGTCCAAGCTTCCTTCTTTCACTTTCTCTCCCTTTACTCAGCCTATTCTCTGTCTTATTTCTTCTCACCAGTCTGCCATCTCTTGTCTTTCACTGGAATGTGTGAAGCTTGTACTTTGTGTGTGAGCTTTCCACTAGTGCTCAGATATTCTCACTAGTCATACACCATGGATGGAACAGTTCTAGAGGTGAATCTACAGATCTCTCACTTCCACATAAAAACTTTCTTAGCCCTGCTATGCAAAATTAAGACTTGCTATTTCAACCACACATATTAAAGTGTCTGGTCTAGTTCTCCATATTACCTATTTTCCCTTTAAATATTGAAAATTTTACCATGATATTTTTTCATACCATTTATTTTGCTTTTATGCACAGTGATATTTGCTTGTTATTCACCTTTATTGCTTATCTTTTTGTCTGAATGTAAGTCTGTAGAAGAATGTTTAATATGAAACAGAATAGCAGAAATATCAAATAAAGTATCTGTAACATAATGACACTCAGATAACTGTCAAGTGAATAACAATAAATCCAAGAGAAACATAAGTTACAGTTAAAGTTTATATTCAATAGTAAGTAATGAAATTGTCATTATAGACTAGGATTTTCTTATATTAAGGACCTGATGTGACTGAACTAAGCTGTATACCACATCAAACATCCTCACTAATACTGAATATATTTTCAGACTCAGATGAACATGCTTCCTGTGCATTCATTTTTAATGGTAGTAATATTATGAAAAATCTACATATTTGGAAAACTGTAGGTGCACAAGCCATCCATTTCAATGTATTTTGCGCTATCAGTTGAGCAACTAGATGTTTTCTTTCATCAAATAGAAGTTATCAAACACTTGAATCATGGATCAACAGATATTAAATTATTTTCTGTGGAAACAACTCCATAGTTTATTTGGAGATATCCAATCTATTTCAATTGTATTTATGGCAGATATGAAGAAAAATCTTTTTGATATACATTTCAAAAATACCATTCATATATTATAATATATTATAATATTCATATGTTACTGTATTGATATGGTAGTGAAAAAAGAAATTTTTGAGCATAAGACTTAAAATAGGATGATGTAGTCAGAAATTTGTAAGCATTTTAATTAAATGAGTTATGTTATTATTTGCAATGGAAGATCAAGTGATTTATCTTTGTAGCAGATGCATCTTGAGTTTTTCAACATGAGAAGATGAGGAATGGATAGGCAGAGCTGATACAAATACAGTACTGTTGACAAATTTTTTCATTTACACTGCATGTATTTATATCTGAGAGGTTTTATGGGTGCCTTTTTGCCAAATATGAACATGCTAATTAGAATTAAACTGTAAAGAACATTTTTTGAAAGGTAAATTCAATACATTTTATGTAAAATAAATTCTAATAAAAATATAAAAGGTCTGCTTATAATTGAAAAAAATGGTTACATGCCTGAAATTAACTGAATAAATTGATATCAAAATTAAGAAAACTGCTGATTTTAAAACTATCAGATGTAGAGCTATAAATACATATAGTTTATTATTTGCTTTACTGGGTGCTTCTCATGTGATTTAATGTATATTTAATTTGAAAAATTGACTTGATTAAGTGATACATTACAGTATTATGTTTATTTATTAACAGAAAATATGTTTACTATAAACTATTAGTTTCCTTTCTAGGAATCAAATTGTTTTTTAAATTGCTTCTGTTTTGCTGTTTGTTATATCTGAAGCAATGTAATAAATTTTTCATACATTATTTTTAATATTTTAGCCAATATATTGCAAATGAAATTGAGCATATTTCTGTAATTCTTAAATTATATAAAGAGAATATATATACTTTTAAGCTTCCCATTCGTTGCTTATATAAATCCATTTTACATATATAATAAAACATTCCATTTAAAATAATTTTCTGATTAAGCCTGATATTATGAAACATGAGTGAAAAACAAAGAAAATTTACAATGTTGTATTAAGTGAAAGATATAAAAATGCTGATAAAAATACGGGGGAAAATGAATTTTTATTTGATGATTTTAATTAGTATAGGTACTCAGGAAAATAGTAGAATGTTACCTAATAAAAAAATTTTAATACTGGTACTACCATATGATCCACCATACTCATTCATGGGTACACATCCAATGGAAATGAAATCTTTAGAAACCTAAACTTTCATGCTTATTATAGCATTATTGATGAGTCAAAAAACACAGTCATATAGGCTGCCTATGAAACAGAGAAGAGATAAAGAAGTTGTGGTTAATATTGAAAGCAGAATTTTTCCACCACAGAAAGAAAGCAATGCAGTCATTCACAGCAACATGACAATTAGAGAAAATTAATTATCCTAAGTGAAATGTCAGTCAGAGTAAGACAATGTCTCATGTTCTTATTCATTTGTATAAGATAAAAATTCAGTGGAGTAGAAAATAAAGTGATAGTCATAATGGACAAAAAGGTTAAGGGATGAAAACTACAGATAGATTAGATAATGCATGCCAAAATACAATTAAATATGAGCAACTAGTTCTGGTGTAGGATAACACACGGGATAACTTTAGGAGATAATTTATGCTTTACTTTTAAAAAACTGAATATGAGAGCCCAAAGTTTCCCTATACACATAAAATATAAATATGTTAGGAAATGACAATCCTTAGTGCCCTGAGTTTCATCATTACATATTTTACACATCAAATTATTTTATACATAAAAATAGTTATGCTTCAATGGATTTCATTTATATGTATAAGCAGTATATACCAATACAATAAAAATGAAAAAAATTGAAAATTGAGAAAAATAAGATATACAGTTAATGTACATGGCAATAGGATTGCAAAAACAACTAATAAAAATGAACTCACTCCGTGAGTTAATGCCTGTACACCAAGCAGTTGAGCAGGCTAAGACAGGCCTTTCATAGGTAACTCAGTGAGATTTTTATCTCAAAGTAAAAATGAATGCACAAAGCTAGGGTAGGGACATAGGTAAGTGCAAATTCCATCTGACACACACAAACGTGTGCATGTGCACACACAAGCACAAACACCCTCCAAAGCATCAAGAATAAAGATACAAGACATAAGAAGCTAAAAAGAAACAATAGCACTACATTGCTCTTGAAAAGCAGTGCAAATAAGAAAACAGAGAAGTATCTTTATGTACTGAGAAATACAGTGAACGTTCCATTGCATTCAAAAGCAGTGTTTTGTAAAAAATAGGTAAAATAAAAGCTTTTTGTGAAATAAAAAGCTGAAAAATTAGTCAATGAAATGAATTTAAATGAAAGATTTGCTGCTCACTGTGAAATGAAGAAAAATGAAATGACTTGGAATATCCAAGAAATATAAAACAATTCATAAAAAAATAACAAGTATAATTAAATATCAGAGACTAAAACTAGAACAGAGAAGAAGAAATACTTGAAGTAACAATAAACAGTTATTTTCAAAATCAATGTAAGAAAACAAACCATAAGTCTAATTAATTCAGAGTTGCAAAAAATAAATACCAAAAAAAGAATAACAAAACATGTAATCAGGTCAATTTTAACTTCCTGGAGGGAGAGACACACACATACACACATGCACATCTCAAAAGAAATTAAACCAGATAAAAAACATTTCCACTAAGAAATAAAGAAAATCCATCAAAATTTTTTACATTTAAGCACGCTAAAACATACATCAAAATTAGTAGTGCTAAAATAAAAAGATACATCAAAACAACACCCAGTATCCATCAAAGTTGTCTTTTGTCAGTAGCAGGTCTGACTTCTAAATACATTAAATTTTTCATAATAAGGAAAACTTTTGGTGAATGAATGTAAAATATGAATTTATTTTTAACTTTTAATTGATCTAATAGATAATTATTTGAAATAATAAGAGCAAAAATGTATTTTGTGATATTAAATATGAAAAAGTCAAATCAATATATTGTAATGAACGAAAAACTATTATGTCTTCACTGGCAATGTAGCACTGTAGTACAAATTGGAAGAGGACTTAAGATTTAGGTCATAGACTTAATGTGCATTGTCCACACTAGGGCAAACATTAACACAAAATGTTAATAAAAATGTGTAAGGCTTGTACCCATATATTTGTCATATTAAAAGTTCCACTAAAATAAGGGAATCTAAAAGTACAGAAAATAAAAAGAAAATAAAAATCCTCAATAATAGAAAACAGACAGGGTAGCTTTTGTCTGCCTGGGTGTTGGTTTGTTTGAACAGTGTCACACTAAGTCATTCAGTTGCTCAGGCTGTGCCCTAGGTTGTGATCTCCTTGCTTAGCCTTCCAGTGTGTTGAGATTACAGGAAAACACCACCACAGTCAGGTAGATATGATAGATTTTACTCACATAGGACCTATATTTGTAATCACTTGAAATATAATGTTCTAAACATACAAGTCAAAAACAGAGATTTTTAATAGGAGAAACATACCACCTAAAAGACAACTTAGATATCCAGACTCATGTAGATTAAAAATGAAGAGATAGTGATAATTGTTTCACTCAAACACTAAAGCAAACTACTCTCGCTATACTAATTTCACCTAAAGTAAATTTCAGGAGGAGAATAATTTTTAGATGTAAAAAGAGTCAAAAGATAACAATAAAAAGGATCAGTCTTTCAAGAAGACAGAGCAATCATGAGGTTATGTGCATCTCACAGAAACATTCTCCAAGTATAAGACAAAAAGCAATAAGACTGCCGGGAGAAATAAACAAATCTGAAGTTACAAGTGGAGGTGTCAACAGTTCTCATGCCATAATTGATAGACTCAGCAGGCAGAAAATCAATAAGGGTACAGTGACAGCAAATCTCGCCATTAAATCTACTGGATCTAATTGGCACTTGTAGACTGGCTTATCCAACAGCAGCAGACGACACATTTGTCTCAAGTTCGCATAGAACATTTCCTAAGGGTGGGGGGAACACTTCTGGACCACAAAATACACCTAAACTAATTTAAAAGAACAGAAATCTTATGAGGTGTCTTCTTGGAACACAATGATCTAAAACTAGAGATCAATAAAAGAAACATAACTGGAAAAATTAAAAATATTTGGATTAATCAGCATACTTTTCAGTAGACCAAGAGTAAGTGAAGTCTCCAGAGATAAAATTAGAGAACAAATTTAGTATATGGCAAATGTCCATTTTATTAGTTTTATAATTATTCCATAAACCCAAAATTATTTTTAAAATAAAGGTATTAATTAGTTGACGATATTACTTGGTGGTAGAGCTATTGCTTAACATGCATGGGTAAAATCACCAGAACTACCAAAAAGTACAAAAAAAAATGTTTTTAAAAGTAAATCTAGTCAATACAACAATAAAGTTGTAATAATATAATAAAGAATATTTTAAAAGGAATAGAGGAAAAATAAAAGGACAAATACAAAAAAACCAAAATAATAAAAAGTTACATTAATAGGTAGATGAAAGCAAGCTGAAAGTTATAAGCAAGAATTTTTTAGAGTAACACAGAAAAAGTAGGATTCAACTGTTTTTCCTGTCTCTCTCTTTTTTTACATTGCTATTCAAATCTATTAAGAATTCTCGTCTTAAAAAAAAATGAAAGAGAGAGAGAGAAAAAGAAAAAAGAAGAACAAATAGGAAAAGAAAAGAAATGAAACCAAAAGAAAAACCAACCAAGCCTAGGGTCTTGAAGTAGCTAATTAGGATTGTAAACACATAGTATCTGGTTGGTTCCTTTTTGATGAGTTGGTACAGGCTAGAGCTAAGTACAAAAGTTTATGAATGCTTTGAAAGAGTAACAAAGTGCAAAGAGGATGACTGCAGGAAGGTGCCCAGAGGAGACACCGAGCACTAACAGCTTCAAAGAGCCTCAGCCACCTGCACCTCCTGGAGACAGAGGTGTCCTTGCCGTGCCGAGGTGGGTCTGGGCCTAACTGTGCCATGGGGCAGCTGAGTGGAGAGGTGCTTGGGTCCCCTGCAGCAGAGTTACATAGTGTGTTTGGTGTTCTTCTGCAAACTGAAATGAGGAGTCGATTTTTCTGGCTAAAATTTATACTTAAGACTGGTCCCAGACCTTGTTAACCTGAGACAGTGGGGTCCTCACAGCTCCCACAGGCAGCCGGCTCAGAATCCGGCCCGGGGACTTCTCACGCTCCAGGGGACCGCTGGGAGATTTGTCCCTCTGCAGCTCTGTTCGCCCCTCGCGGTAGCGGTGGGGTGTGCTTGGCTCCCGGGGGTGGCTGGGGTCTTCAGGTGGTGCTGGGCTGGAGGCCACACGCTTGGTGATGTGCTCATTGTACGTTGGGGGGCCTCGCTTGTTGGGGCTGCTGCGGGAGGTGGAGGGGACCTGGTGGTGCTCAGTGCTGGTCTCCTTCACAAGGTTTCCTT